CCATGACCTGGATGACTCAGAATCTCTACAGACATTTATGGCAGGGTTTACTCAAACGTGGCAACTGGCTGGGGGATTCTGGGAGTTGGAAGTCCACACATCTTCAAGTTGCTGAGGTTGAGAAACATTATTCTACTGATTTGGCCCTGCTGATATCATTCCATATACCATCCTTACTGAACTGTGTATTTGCAATGTTATAAACGATATAAACTTGCATAGTCAGTACCTCCTAGCTCAAGGACAATTTTAATAGAAACAGTAGGGTGGCAATTATTTTTTCCTACGCACAAAAGCTGAGGTTTGTCATTGCAGTGTTGCAGAATTCTTGGCACGTTTCCACACACAGCAGAGTCTAAAGATTTGATTTTTTTTCTTCTACAATTACAATTCCCATCATTACTGACTTGACGGTTGGATATGTCAGCTGGAGATGATGAGAACTAGTGTACCTGAAGAGATTAGATTGGGGAAAGGTGATAAGAAATGAGAAACTTGTTTGTGTGGAAGAAGAAATCTCTGAAAGTTAAAGCTTTTAGCAGAACATTTTCTGTAACTAACAGCAAAAGACTACTTGGTGAACTCTGGTCAAATTGGAGTTTATAGCTGTGTGTTTCCATGATGACTTTGTATCTACAATGCCACATTCATTCTCAATCCTTTGCTGCTGGTACATATAACCTGCATCTGTTTCCTTTTTATCTGCTTTTCTGGAAACTTCTCCTTACCACACATCGTATAGATCAGGGGTCTTCAACCTTGGCAACTTTAAGACTTGCGGACTTCAACTTCCAGAGTTCCCTCTGGGAGTTGAAGTCCGCAAGTCTTAAAGTTGCCAAGGTTGAAGACCCCTGGTATAGATGGCTCCCCCCAATGCCTGATCGTTTCCCTCCTGCTCTTGGCAGATCATTGATCCGAAGATGCCCCGGGAAGGGATGTTCCACCATGGTGTCCCCATTCCTGTGCCTCCCTTGGAGGTATTGAAGCTGGGAGAGCAAATGACTCAGGAAGCACGGGAGCATCTCTACCTGGTCCTCTTCTTTGACAACAAGCGCACTTGGTAAGGGCTGAAGCTCACCCTTTCCCAGGTACCAAAAGCTACAAGGAAGGAAGGGAAGGAGCTCAATCGAGGCTGGGGGGGGATTAATTGAGAGGAAGAGTGGGAACAGGGGGACGGACTAGCCCTCTTGTTTTGGGAGTGAACCGAGCTCTAATGACTTCTCATACGTTCCATCCCTGCAGGCAATGGCTGCCCCGCACCAAACTCGTGCCCCTTGGCGTAAACCAGGACCTGGATAAGGAGAAGATGCTGGAAGGCCGCAAGTCCAACATCCGCAAGTCTGTCCAGATTGCCTATCACCGAGCCATGCAGCACCGGAACAAGGTGCAAGGAGAACAGACCAGCGACTCCAGCGAGAGTGACTGACCCTCCGAGGGGCTCCCGCCCTGGGTGCTCACTCAGTGCAGCTGGACTGTACGGGAGAAGGGAGCAGAGAGCTCCAGCCTTGGGAAGCCTGGCTGCTGCAGGAACACGCACAGAGCACCCAACAGCTCCTCCAGTGTGCTGGGCACACCCACAGAGCACTGTGCCCTTCACGTGGGCAAAGCCTACCTCTTCTGCCAGCCTGCCCTTCCTTGTTCCATGCCTGGAATTGCCCTGACCAGCTGCACGAGCAATACCCAGCTGCCTGCATAGCTCCTATGGGCAGTACCCTAACTCTCTGGGTCTTAAGGCTCTAGACTTTTGTAAGATACTGTATAATAGTGGGAGAATGTAAATTATTTGGGCTGCTCCGTACACCTACCCCTCCCAACATACAGAGTCTGGCCCCGTTTCCCTGCATCATAGCACCTGTCCAGTTCCATCAGCCTTTCCTCGGCCCAGCCCTACCGACACTCTGCAGAGCAGGGCCGCCGTCTTCTCACTTGCACATTTTGATACTATAGCTTTTTGGAATCTGCCTGACCCCCTTCCTCTTCCCCCCCCCCAACCTTGTAGAAACCCGGCTCTTTCTGCTGCAGCCGGGTGGGCATTTGTACTTGTATTTATTTTGGAGAAAGAAGACCTCTATTGATTCTTAGAAAATAAAATGGCTCTTTTGGAACCAAGTGGGCTCATTGCCTTTTTAAAATTCTGTTTGCGGAAAGGATAAGGGAATCTCTGGTCTTGTTCTGGTCTCATGAGAAGATGTGCTGACTCTTGGCTTCAATTAATCATCAAGCTAGCTTTACTATCCCGTTATCAGGATTAGCATCACCCACCACCATTGTTTATTTAGCATTAGCAGTATACCATAAGATTTCGTATCTAGAAATGATAACAATTGACTTTGTAGAAAAAATGGCTTAAGGAATTGTTTTCATCATTCCTTGTATTTTAGTTTACTGCACTGAAGCTTCAAAGGGTTCAGAGCATCAACAAATTATTCTCAAAGCTTTTCCCATCCAGACAGATGACAAAGTTAGACCTTGCAAATTTTAGCAGCAGAACTTGTTTTCAGGTTATTCATAAAGGCACATTTTAGACCAATAGTGCTAAATATGTATATGGTATTTTTCTAAAAAAAGCTTCTAATTAATTATTTTGGAGAGATTGTTGTCAAATCTATTCATTTTATCCAATATTTAGATATTGCACCTACCCTTTCTTCTACTGCAGTCACTTCATTTGTTGTATTTCAGAAGAAAGCTTTAATTTCCATTTTTTTTTCTAAAGAGTCCTTTTAGAAGATGATCTAAACTGGGTGACAATCATTTTATCTAGTTATAAATATGTCCTAACGTTGTGTGAGAATGAAGCTGGGATTGTTGCCTGCATTTGAAAAAAGCAACAGCAGCAAAAAACATTTCCCACCCACCCCCATCCCCAATTCACCAGGGCTAAATTCATGCTTTTTCTCCCAAAGGCAGTAAAAGTTTACAGCCCCAGGAAAACTTCAGAGGGAATTAGCTTATTAATTTCCCTACGCAGTTTACTCACAAGCATACACACTGATATTTCAGGTGTCTAGCTAACTGAACCATGTCCTGGCATTTTTAGCACCCTGCCAACATCCATAGGCAGCTTCACCCCACTCAGGCTCTTAGCCTACAAAAGAGTGTGTGTGTGTGTGTGTGTAGAAATGGTGGAGGATAAGAAGTCAAGAAGCAGGCAAGGAAGCAGGAAGTGATGTTCGGAAATGTACAATTGCTACAGGAGGTAAGGGAAAGGGCAATCAATCAACTGCCAGGATTACAAGTGTTTGTAAGCAACCCACTGTGGTCCAGTTGTCTTTTGAAAAGCCCCTTTGGGATAACCATGATCTGGATGATTGAGAATCTCCAGACATTTAACCCATTGTGGAGTGATTCCTGCTTGGCACTTGGCTTAGATTTTGGGCTGGAGTCTGATAGCAGCCAGAAAAGGACAAACCATATTGAGGCAGCACCTAATCCCAAGACACAAGAACTTTTGGAGCAAGGCAAAAGTTGTATAGTTGTATGCTACTATACAAATTTTAAGACTTACTTGCTATAAGGAATAACTATCATTATTTATATGACTACCCTGTTTCCCCCAAAATAAGACATCCCCTCATAATAAGCCCAATTGGGCTTTTGAGCGCATGGCAATACAGCCAAATGCTTATTTCAGGGTTCAAAAAAATATAAGACGGTCTTATTTTCGGGGAAACACGGTACATCAATTTACAAAATCTAGGAGGATGGAGTTAACCCAGGGCAAGTATTATTAGGAAAAGCACGTACCACAATAAAGATCAAATGAATATCTTATTTAAATTATAGTAATTTTTAATGAAATATTTGGATGTTTGATAATGAAAATAATGATTTAAAATTAAATGTGCATTATATTCCCACTAATTTTATCAATTTGGGCACTTTAAAGAAAATGCATTACTTAGAAGAATCTAGAATTCAACTGTTATATACCATGGAATGAATTCCAGCTTCTGCTTCAATGCCCAGCAAATATTTATTTGATGTGACCTTATTATTCTTAATGTGAATTTTAACAGCTAACCAGCTAAAAGAAGTGGAAATCTAGCTTTTTTTGTTGTTTGTTAAGATCAAACACTCTATGATCAAGTGTTTAAGTGTCTTCCAGCACGTTTTACAGGAGGGATTAAGGGCCGATCACCTTGAAATGGCAGCAGTAATGTGTTTTTACAATAGCTTAAATATCACTGCATGTTAATGTATATGGCTTGTCAAGGTGAATCTGGGTGGGGAAGAGAATTTAAAACAATGTAAATAACTATAAACTAAAATAAACAACAACAAAAAAGACTGCCAAGAATAACAATGCCCCTAATCCGGCCCGGACTAATTTTCTAACCCCCATGCCTGACAAGAAAAGAAAGGATAATTGAAAGGATGCTTGCATTATACCATTTTTTAAAAATAATAATAAGTTTTCTGCCTGGAACTCTTGCTAGATGCCACAAAGAGGAGTGAGTCAAACTATTCTCCAGAGCACCTGAGGGCAGGACAAGAAGCAATGGGTGGAAACTAATCAAGGAGAGAAGCAACTTAGAACTAAGGAGAAATTTCCTGACAGAGCAATTGATCAGTGGAACAACTTCCCTCCAGAAGTTGTGAATATCCCAACACTGGAAGTTTTTAAGAAGATGTTAGATAACCATTTGTCTGAAGTGGTGTAGGGTTTCCTGCCTAAGCAGGGGGTTGGACTAGAAGACCTCCAAGGTCCCTTCCAACTCTGTTATTCTATTATTCTATTATATAGATATTTAAACTACGATTATAGCAAAGAGCATCCAGTTCAAGGAACACTGTGCTACCATCTACTGATTATTCTGATTTCGGCAGCCCAGGTAATGGCAGCTCCATTTCCGTTCTCCCCTCTCCCATCCGCCTTGCAATGTACAAGAGACCCTTTTCAGCCTTAACAGGAAGAATTCGCCCTGTGCCCAAAGACCCGGGCTTCCGCCCAAACAGACCACAAAGACCATTTCTCGCAGCCTAGAGCGGAAAGCGGTTGCCCCGCTCTACCCCTGCGCGGCCCCTCCTCTCCATCCAGGGGCCGTACTCTATGGTGATTTTACGGACTCGGAGGTACGGGTTTTGCGCCAAACTGGTGCAGGCGAGAGCTGCGGCCGGAGCGCGCTCATCCCCAAGGACGGCGGACAGCAGAAGGTCCAACATGAACCCCCGGCCGACCCAGCTGCCTCGAGCGACTCCCTGGCGCTCCCTGCCTTGCCCGCGCACCGAACTCCGCCTCGACCTGGTACTCTGTGGCGGGCAGACCTTCCGGTTAGTGCGCCCCCTGGCGGCTCCCAGCCAGGAATTGCAACCTTTTTTTCCCCAAAAGCATCTCCCTTGAATTTGCCCCTTGGCCCTTTTCTTTCTTTCTTTCTTTCTTTCTTTCTTTGCATCGCGTCGTCCTTGGGCGGCTTCTCCTCAGCAGTCATTTTTTTTTAACTTGCCCCTTTCTGGGTTTGCTGCCTTTGCTTTCCCCTTGGCTACGCCCCAGGGTTGTGCAGTTTTGGGGTGCATGGAGGCCCGGTGATGAAGGAAGCCAAGCGCTTGGAATGCAGGCATAAAAGCCCCGGCGCGCTCGCGCACGAAAGAGAATAGACCGAGGGAAGAGGGAGGGGAGGGGGGGAAGAGGGAGAGAGATGTTGGCCAGGCTTTTCTTCGTAATGATGTATATATTCTGCTTGTGCAAGCAATGCTCCTGCGAGCTTTTTTTCCCCATCATCCGCAACCAACAATCCTTTTTACCATGATGATGATGATGATGATGATTTTGGTTCATCCCCCATTTGTAAGAGAAAGGATGATGAGCACCGCCCCCTATAAGTAGTTGATAAGGGCTAGCGAAGTAAAATCCGCAGGGATTCCTTTAGCTTTTACCATTTTGTAAGAAGGATGGGGGCAAAAAAACAAACCCCATCTTTCTTTTTGCAAAGAGGGGACAGCACTCCTTTCGGGGGCTTTTTGGGGAAGCGGCTACCACTTGCATTTTGCTAATGGTGATGCTGCCCCTTTTCTCCCTCCCCCCCAAGCCACAATATCATTAAATATAAAAGCCCTTCTAATTCTTCGAAGCATCAGTAGAATCTACCCAGTCCTCCACAGCTCTTTTGTTTTCTGCATATAATCTCCTTGGCTTCATGGAGCTGAAGCCTTGAGCTACAAATCCTTCCCCCTAGGCACAGCCAATTGGCTCCCTGAATTCTCCCGTGCTGCTATTGAATTGAAAGAGAACCTGAGAGATCGCTGCAATACAGGAGAATATATGTAGCTCAGGGTTGAACTGGGGAATCCTTGTTACCTCTCTGAGCTTGGTTGTTTGCTTGCAGATGCTTCATTGTCCGACTAGCATCAAAGACTTCATAGAATAGATCACTTACAGATCTATGAAAAATCTCCTGGGTCAGGTGAAATCTGCAACCAAATGGGACAGGTACAGACTTCAATAGATAGATAGGACTACCGAAAAAAAAAAAAACAATTGTAACCAGTCTGCCTTCTATTGAGGACCTGTAGTAGGGCTATATTCTGGCATGAGCCAGAAAGAGGGCTGTGACAATATCTACAGACCAGGGGTGAAATGCTCCCGGTTCGGACCGGATCGCCTGATCCAGTAGCGATGGTGGCTAGTGGTTCGGAGAACTGGTAGCAAAAATCCCTGCCCCCCACCACCACCACCATGCCCAGCTGAGCCGCACGATCATCAGAGGCTTTTTTTTTTTTTACTTTTCAAAGCATTTTTTCTACAACCTCTTCCGACAAAAAAATGCTTTTAAAAGTAAAAAAAAAAGCCTCTGATGATCGCGCGGCTCAGCTGGGATCATCAGAGGCTTTTCAAAGCATTTTTTTCTGCAACCTCTTGGCCGAAGAGGTGGTAAAAAAAGTGCTTTGAAAAGTCTCTGATGATTGCAGCTGAGTTGCCTGATCGGCAGAGAGGCTTTTCAAAGCATTAGAAAAAATGCTTTGAAAAGTTAAAAAAAAAAAGTTGGCCATGCCCACCCAGTCACATTACCCCCTCCCCCCACCAAGCCACGCCCACAGAACCGGTAGTAACAAATTTTACATTTCACCCCTGCTACAGATATCCTGGACATAAACTGTTTTAGCTTCTTCCCTCAGGACACCGCTATAGGGCGTTGCTTGCCAAAATAATTGGGCACTAAGATAGTTTTTCTCCCATGCCATCACTCTGCTAAACACCTACCGGTATCTCCCACAGCACTAAAGGTATTTATCCATGTAGTAGGGCTATATTACTATTATCCTCCTCATCTTCTCAAAAGGCAACTAGACTTTGTTTTTCCTTGAAGATGTTTCACTTCTCATCCAAGAAGCTTCTTCAATTCTGACTGAACGGTTTAAATCCTTCCATCCTCCACCATTCAGTCAGAATCGAAGAAGCTTCTTAAGATGAGAAGCAAAACGTCTTCAAGAAAAAACAAAGTCCAGTTGCCTTTTGAAAAAAAAACACCTTTGAGACTGTTTCTCTAAAGTGACAAATTGCATTACACTGAATTTAATCCACAATCTGAAACTCTTTAGAGACCGTAACAAACTTTAGTCTGAACATCAGTTTTATTTTATTTGTATATTTTGAGGCTAAAATTAGAATAGAGCTGGAAGGGAGGGACCTTGGAGGTCTACTAGTCCAGGGGTCACCAACCTTTTGGACCTCGGGGATCACCAAATTCATAATTTTAAATCCCGTAGGCCAGTAATATGAATTTTTAAAAAAGAGAAATAGTTTTTAGTGCAATATAAAAAAATGCAAATAATTTTTCTGTGGACCACCAAAATTTTCTTGTGGACCACCAGTGGTCCACGGACCACCAGTTGGTGTCCACTATTCTAGTCCAACACCCTACTCAAAAGCAGGAGACCCTATACCATTTCAGATAGATGGCTGTCCAATCTCTTTTTAAAAACCTCCAGTGATGAAGCACCCACAACTTCTAAAGTTCTAAAGTGCTTCTAAAGTGCTCTCAAAACTTTTTTATTTCAGCAGGCTGGCCTGGCCTAACTCTCCTCTTTTAAATTTTTAATTTGTTTGATCTTATAAATTGGGTGTTTTAATCTGTGTTTCGGCCAAAATATTTAATAATTTTAAGGGACTTTTAATATTTGTATTATCTGTATTTTATCTTGGCTGTTCACCGCCCTGAGTCCTTCGGGAGTAGGGCGGTATAGAAATTTGATTAATAAATAATAAATAAATAAATAAATAAAGGCAAGCTGTTCCACTGGTTAATTGTACTCACTGTTAGGAAGTTTCTCCTTAATTCCAGTTGCTTCTCTCCTTGATTAGTTTCTATTGTTTTATGCCTTGCCTTCTGGTGCTTTGGAAAATAAATTGACCTCCACTTCTTTGTGGCAGCCCCTCAAATACTAGAATACTGCTATCATGTCACTCCCTAGTCCTTCTTTTCTCTGGACTGACCATATCTACTTCCTGCAACCGTTCTTCATATGTTTTTGTCTCCAGGCCTTTAATCATCTTAGTTGCTTTTCTTTGCACTTTTTCCAAAGTCTCAACATCTTTTTTGTAATGTGGTAACCAAACCTAGATGCAGTATTCCAGGTGTGGTCTTACTAAGGCCTTAAAATAATAAATACCATTAAAGTTGCCTGTAGCCTCGGAGGCCCAATTGTGAGATATATGAGAAAGGAACTTCTCTTTGGGTCAGTTGCAAATTTTATTTCTTCCAGAAATAAATTTATTTCTCCTTCCATTTTCAATAAAGGAATTAATCCTGTACCTTGTAACCATGCGTTTTTTTGAATTGCACCACTAATAAAGGTAATTGCATGTTAGCCGGTAACAATTTAGCTTGTTTACCTTTGAGCGCTCTATAGATAAAGGCAGGAAATAATAAGAACTTTTATAACTTTAGAAGTGATGTTTGGAGAAGGAGTAGCTTAACTGTAGAACATAGACCCGGCTTCTATCACTGGTTATTTGCTCAAACAATTCAGATAAGTTGATCAGAGTTGATTGGAGAGCAGCTGTCAGAGACGCTATCAAGTTAGTTGAAAAACAGGCTCACTACTGTAGCTATAAGAAGCTGAACTGCTTTTTCTTTTCCCGTTTTGCATGCTTAGAAGTTACTAGGCATACTATTTTCTTTTCATTAGCTTGGCTCCTAAAATCAATTAGCAGTACCATCGTGCAATCTTAATATAATTATTAATCCTTAAAGTGAAGATGCTTTCCAAGAACTGGACATACCATCCATAGCAAATCTGCACATAGTGTTTTAGCACATCCCGTCTTCATGGACACCAACTAGCAGTCAGAAGGCATGATGAAAACTCCTGACTCTCATAACACATGGACAGATTCGATCATAGTTTCAACTGGGAAACTCTGACCATCCTAGAACAAGCCATGTCCAAGAACACTAGAGAATACCTGGAGGCCTGGCGCCCTGACAAATCAAGTCATCAATAGACATAAACAATATCTATATATAGGTAGTCCTTGACTTACAAACACAATTGAGTCCAACATTTCTGTCACTAAGTGAATTTTAAGTGAGTTAAGTGAATTTTGCCTCATTTTACAACCTCTCTTGCCACAGTTGTTAAGTGAATCTCTCTAATTGTTCAGTTAGTCACATGGTTGTTAAGTGAATCTGGCTTCCCCATTGATTTTGCTTGTCAGAAGATGGCAAAAGGTGGATCATATGACGCTGGGACATGGCAACTGTCATAAATATGAGTCAGTTGCCAAGCATCCGAAGTTTGATTACGTGATCACGGGGGTCATAAGCAGGGATGGGTTCTACTTACCTTTACTACTGGTTTGCAACGGGATCGCGCCTGGGCGTTTGGTTCGCTCACGTGCGCGCCGAGCTGCGCATGCACAGAAGTTTCTGCACATGTGCAGATCGCCTATGATGACATCTGGGGCGGTGGGCGGAGCCTCCCGCCGATTTTACTACCGGTTCTTGCGAACCAGTCCGAATCGGGGGCAACCCACCATTGGTCATAAGTGTGAAAATGGCCATAATTCACTTTTTCATGCAGTTGTATGTCAAGGATTACGGTACTGGTATTGACTGAAGGATCTGCGTAGTCTTTTTAGGTGAGACTTGGCTGTTTCTGCTGCTAACCAAGCTTGTGATTTTCTCAGGTGGTCTGAAACCAGCCCTGGCTACTGGACTGGCGTGCTGGCCGGACGAGTCTGGACTCTCACTCAGTCTGAGGAACATCTGTGGTACACTTTGCATGAAGAGGAAAAGGAAGACGGTGGCAGAGAGGAAGAAGGCCTGTCCGAACCTCCCCTGAAGAAGAGCAGGAAGCAAACACAGCCGGAACCGAATCGTCCTGGGACAAGCGAGCGTTCAGGCAGCCATTTGCCTGGAGAGCTGGCCCGGGGAACCGATGGGTTGACTCCTTCTCAGATCCTCCAGGACTATTTCCAGCTACATGTAAATGTATCTGCGTTATACCAGGGTTGGTCTTACGTTGACTCGCATTTCCGGGAAGTAGGTGTTAAATTCCCAGGTAAGCAAACTAGCATTGGAGAACGATGTAGTGCTACAATTAAAAATATATGGATTTTTTTTTTTTTTACATGATGAAGAGATAGTACAATATCCTAATTTGCGTGTGAGCACTTGTTTTCAGGAATTAGAACTAAGTGACGCTTTATTTAGTTGAGAGTAACTGACCAGCGTCAAAGCTGTGTCTTATATCAAGAGCACAGAATTTGAATTCTTAAATGTCTTTATGCATTTTAGGGAACAAACATCGTCCTTGTCTGGCAGAGGGAGATTTGAAAACGGACAGACCCCAAAGTGAGGCTTTCTTGAGGGGTCCTTGGTGCTCTCTGAGCTTGGTTGTTTTCTCACAGACATTTTATTACCTGCACTGCAGATAATAAAATGCTGTCCTGATGTTACCTAGTTGGGTAATGTTGTGGCCCACCGGCAGCCAGCGGAGCTAGCAGCAGAGTCAGAAAGTGAGGAGGTTGGGGAGGAACATGGGGCAGTTCTGGGGGCTGGGGAAAGCTCAGACGAGGGAGATAGACAGCAATGAGGCAAAAGAACAGCTGGAGCCCGATCCCAGTATGTGCATGTGCAGAGCTGCCAGAAGACAAGAATAACTCAGAAAGCAGGGTCAACTTGGGAGTAAAGCCACACCTTGGAGATGATTGGCCCCTCCCATAGGAAACAAAAGAGGAGCGAACGGGAAGGAGGCTTTTGCAGGAAACAATTTGGTTGTTCATTCGTTTGTTTCAAGAGTGGAAAGTTGTGTTCGTGACTGTAAGAGACTCTGCCAAGTTTAGCCTTACTTTGCATTTGGAAACAAGTTACGTGGCAGCTTGCCAAGTGAGATAAGGTATGTTGATAAATATTTCTTTGAAAAACTGTTTGGACAAGCCTTGCTGACTGTGAATGGAAGTAATTCACAGTCGTGTAAATAAAAGAGGTTTTGTCAGGACTAAAACTCTTCTTCCTGCTTTTCAAAGGAGCCTAGGTCAGAACAAAAAATTCTGCAAGAAAACAACCAAGCTCAGAGAGCACCAAGGACCCCTCATTTTAACCCTGAGCTACAAATACTCTCCTTTATTAGTGAGGCTTTCTTGCCCAGGGATCTCTCTCTGCTTACTACTAGTACCATGAAATAATTCAGCACCAAGGAAAAGCTAAATCCCTAAGCTTAAACATAAAGTACATGACTAGTGATAGGAAACCTAGAAACACAGAAAACGGATGGCAGGAAAAGACCTAGTGACTCTTTCTTTCCCCCAGGTGTCCGGGTGCTGCGGCAGGACCCAGTGGAGTGCCTCTTCTCCTTTATCTGCACCTCCAACAACCACTTGTCCCGCATCACCAACATGATTCAACACCTGTGCCAGGCCTTTGGGCGCCGCCTCTGCCAGCTGGATACCAAGACCTACCATGCCTTCCCCACACTGCAAGCAATGGCAGGTAAAACCTTAGGCCTCAAAGTTGCTTTGCGGCCTTCCTCTCCGCAAACCATCCCTGCTACATCTCTGATTCCTTCTCCGTTTACTGTTCTGTCCCCAAAAGGACACATCAGTGACAGTAACAGTGTTGGAAAGGATCTTGGAGGCCATCTAGTCCAGGGGTCTCCAACCTTGGCAACTTTAAGAGTTGTGGACTTCAATTCCCAGAGTTCCTCAGCCAGCAAAGCTTTCTGGGAGTTGAAGTCCACAACTCTTAAAGTCGCCAAGGTTGGAGACCCCTGATCTAGTCCAACCCCCTACTCTCGCAGGAGAGCTATACAATATTTGATAAATGTCTATCAGGTCTCTTCTTAAAAGCCTCCAGACTACATCCAAAAGAAGTGCTCTTCTGCCCCCATAGCAAAAGACAGTTGCGCTACATTCACATTCCTGCTTTAGGGAAAGCTGCCTTTTATCCAACTATTCCCCTGGTTGTGTGTCTCCCTCACCCATCCACTCCGATCTTCAAGGATCATTCCCACATACCATTATGGGTGCTGTCTTCCATGTAGCAGCCCAGGCAATGAGTTGAGTCTCAACCAGGTAGCACAGAAAGATGGAGGAGTTTACTGAGACAGGCCTGATCAGGTAATCCAGTAGACCAGGGGTGTCCAACCTTGGCAACTTTAAGGCTTGTGGACTTCAACTCCCAGAATTCCTCATGCTGGCTGGGGAATTCTGGGAGTTGAAGTCCACAAGTCTTAAAGTTGCCAAGGTTGGAAACTCCAGCAGCAGACACTTTATCTGAAGCATCTGCCATCTCCCTCATCGTTCTCCTCCAACCCTCCCACTGTTTCTTTCTTCCAAGCAACCTTTATGCTTAACAAGCACTGGGCCTGCAAGAACTGGCACTTTCTCACACAGAGACTGATCCTTTCTCTTCACCACACATAAGGAAGTTCTTAGTTGATGTCAAACCAGTGGTGGGTTCCTTCCAGTTCGGTCCGGTTCGGCCGAGCTGGTAGTGGTGACAATATGATGTCACCGAACCGGTTCTCCCCCCCCGCCCTCCCACCCCCCCACCCCCCACCCCACATTATTCTTACCTTTTATTTGGTCCCACCCCCAATCTATTGCTGCCTCCTGAGTCCCAGCTGATGACTAGAGGGAAAAAAACTGTTTAAACTCTTGCCACGGGGCTTCAAAGGGGGCTCTTGCCACCCTACAGCTGATCAGTGTTAAAAGCAAACAAATGAGTCAGGTCGTAAGTGCGAGGACTGGTCGTAAGTGCGAGGACCTTCCAGAAATGAGACTGACCAGCTAGCCACGCCCACCTAGTCACATGACCTCCAAGCCACACCCACAAAATAAGCCACGCCCGCAGAACCGGTAGTAAAAAAAATTTAGAACCCACCCCTGTGTCAAACATCTTTTGGAGTGTTTGTAGAATGCCAGAGGGGAGAGTGTGGGAACACCCCTTTTAACCTTCCTGTTTCAGATGGCCCTGGTTGCGATTTCCTCTTTTCCCACTATCTGTTTAGCACTAAGGAAGGACCATTGGTCTGGTTTCTGATATCTGTCTCCACTTTAGAGTCACAGTGCTGGCTGATTCAGTGTGCAGCTTTCCTACAGTTCTGCTTTAAATCACAAAGGAGCTCTTTCTGAAATAATAAAGAGATAAGTACCGTATTTTTCAGAGTATAAGACGCACCTTTCCCCGCCTAAAAGTGGGTGAAAATTTAGGTGCATCTTATAGACCGAATATGGGCATTTTTGGCCTCCCGAACGCTCCGCGTATTGCGTTTTCGCCCTCCCCGGCTCCCAGAAGCACTGCAGTGCTCCGCATGGCCTGTTTTCGCCAAAAACACCCCTGTTTTTGGCCTGCAGAGTGCTTCTGGGGGCCAGGGAGGGTGAAAACACGACACGCGGAGGCCAAAAACTATTTTTTTCTTGTTTTCCTCCTGTAAATTTAGGTGCGTTTTATAATCCGGTGCGTTTTATAGTCCGAAAAATACGGTAAATAAATTAAACCTCCACATTGACTAGTTGTAGTCATAATTCCTACCACAACAGGACTTTTCACTTATTATACTTTGTATACCACCAGTACTAAAATCTCTCAGCAATCTGCAGCTAGGAAAACTCTTGAGAGCCATGTATTTTGTACACGCTCTCAGTATGACTCTCTGAAGACCAATTCAGCAGTTATTTAAGATCTCTTAATTTATTGTAGGTCATATAGCTGAAGAAATGTTTTTAAGTGCTTGGGAACACGACTCAGCAAGGATAAGGGATCCATTGGCAATTCAGGCTTGTAAAAGATGAATACACCCACGTGGACAATGATCTGAAGGAAAAGTCAACGTAAGATTGCACATGGAAGTGCTGGAAGTTTAATTTTAAAAAGGAATTGACAATTGTCGGGAATGTAGATATCCACTGTTAGTTTCGAGCCTCTCTAGTCTTCTCACCATCAATCAATAGTACAGAAAGAATGAATGGAACTGGGAGAAGATACTCAGTCTCATAAACTAAACTTTGCTAAATCTTCCTTGAAAGATCCTTTGAATCTTTGCTTGGTCAAAGATTTGTTAGATGTATAAAGAAGTGCCAATGACGAGTGACTTGATGCACTCTCCATTTGCACCTTTGCTTAATAGTTATTGCTCATTGCTAGAATTGAACCAGATAACTGGTAGCTTAAGTACCGTATTTTTCGGAGTATAAGACGCAGTGGAGTATAAGACGCACCAAGATTTTGAAGAGGTAAACAAGAAAAAAAAAGTTTTTGCCCTCCCCAGACCCCAGGAGCACTCTGCAGGCCTCCCAAACCCTCTGCAGGCCCTGTTTTGGTGAAAAATGGGCCTGTTTTTGGCAAAAATGGGACTCGCAGGGCAGGGTTTCAGGAGGCCAAAAATGGCTGTATTCTGTTTATAAGACACACCAACATTTTCACCCTCTTTTAGAGGGGGACAAGGTGCGTCTTATACTCCGAAAAGTACAGTAACTGAAACAAGTTATAGGAAAATAAAATACATCCCAGAGATGAGCTACCAAGATCCATCCTGCAGCAGAAATTCTATTTGTTTGCCGAAGGGAAATTCTGATTTTTTCCCCCCCTACTTTAATGAAGAGCTGGTTAACAGATCCTTGAAAGATTTGGCGAAAACAGTAGCAGTAAAATGATGGTATCACTCTATTATTGTTCCTTCAGTAGCTGGCTGCAAGCTGTTGGTTTCTCATTGTTAGGCAGCTGATTGATGTTGCGCTGCCTGTTTGTTTATTACATTTACCTGCCGCCCATCCCTCCATGATGCAGCTCTGTTTCTTCTTGAAAATAGAATTATTTCTGGATTTGGTTTCCTGTCTCCACTTCTTGGGGTAAACTTCTTGCAGGAGCAGATACAGAGGCTCGGCTGAGGGACCTGGGATTCGGTTATCGGGCACGGTTTATTAGCGAGAGCGCCCGGGCTGTCCTCAAGACTCTTGGTGGGGCCGCTGGCCTTCAGCAATTGCGCACTGTCCCTTATGAGCAGGCTCGGCATGCCTTGTGCACCCTTCCAGGAGTGGGAGTGAAGGTGAGCATGGACCTGACACCCCTCCCTCCCTGTCTTGCTGTTTAGCCAAAAAGCCTGTGGGTTCGGTTGTGCCTACTTGCGGCTTGCAAAAAAAGTTTTTTTTTTTAATTTCTTTTTTTTTTATTTCGAATTTATATACCGCACCTTCTCCCGAGGGACTCAGGGCGGTATACAGCCAGATAAAAAACATACAATACAAACATTAAAAACAATTAAAAAGATATATATTAATTTGGCCCCAATTTAAAATAACAAACCAATTAAAAATATTTAAAAAATATATTAAGCTTGAGGTAGCTTTGTTTATGCTCTGGGAGGTGATCAAGCCTACCCACTCCTTCCCCCAAGATCCAGAAGCATCTAGGCCCGTGATGGTGAACCTATGGCACAGGTGGCACGTGGAGCCATATCTGTGGGCACGCGAGCATTCCCCTAGCTCAGCTCCAGCGCACATGAACGTGCCGGCCAGCTAATTTTCTGGCCTTCCGGGCCCACTGTTTCCAGCCTCTGGAGGGCCTCCGGGGGGTTGGGGAAGGCCGTTTTCGCCCTCCCCAGGCTCCAAGAAAGCATCTGGAGCCTGGGTAGGGCAAAAAACGGGCCTAATGGGCCCACCATGCCATCGTGTGTCAAAAGCGGGGGGAGCGCAGGGGGTGGGGCGCATTGAATTATGGGTGTGGGCACGGGTGCGCAAGACCCCCCTCAACTCCCCCCACTTTTGGCACACGATGGCAAAAAGGTTAGCCATCACTGATCTAGGCCAATTCCAACTTTTGAGGCCTCAGATATAACAGAAATGAAAAATGACCATTTATGCAACAAAACAGTGGATTCTAACTTAAATACTTTTTGAAGTAAAAACACAGCAAAGGCCTGAGTTTGAGGCCCCAACTAAACAATGGACTGTTATTTTGACTATGTTTTAAAATAAAAACCTAGCTGAGGCCCAGATTTGAGGCCCCAGTTGGCTTAAGGCAAAACCCAAAAACACCTCTCTCCGTGGCCTACTTCCGATTATCTCTGATAGTCAAACAGTAGCTGGTATTTTCCAGGTAGAATAAACCTATTAGTTTGTTCATCCTGGGGAAAACTGTTGGTGGTTTCCCATTTCGTGAGACCAGGGAAACTGAAGGACACCCTGCAATCATTATAATGACTCAGGGGTGAAATCCAGCAGGTCCTGACAGGTTCTGGAGAACCAGTAGCGGAAATTTTGAGTAGTTCAGAGAACCGGCAAATACTACCTCTGGCTGGCCCCAGAGTGGGATGGGAATGGACATTTTGCAATATCCTTCCCCCAGGAGTGGGGAGGGAATGGGGATTTTGCAGTATCCTTCCCCTTGGAGTGGGGTGGGAATGGAGATTTTGCAGTATCCTTCCCCTGCCATGCCCGCCAAGCCACGCCCGCCAAGCCACGCCCACAGAACCGCTAGTAAAAAAAAATTGGATTTCACCACTGTAATGACCCCTATTTTGTGGTTCAGCCTCCCACTAGAGCAGGGGTCTCCCAGACTTCGCAAAACGTTAAGACTTGTGGATTTCAACTCCCAGAATTCTGGGAGTTGAAGTCCACAAGTCTTAAAAGACCCCTGCTCTAGAAGCTAGATTGGCTTCCCCTTTGTAACATCTGAAGAGCATTTGGGGTTATGTTGGGACGTTGATGCTATCTGCATTTATTTGTTACGTTTATTGTTCGTTGCTGTGGTTAGATGGACTTCAATTGCTTTAATATGCCATAGGGGATTGGAATTCTAATTTATTGTTCTTATTGGTGCATCAACAACCTTTCTAGCTTTGCAGCTTGGCCCGGAGGGGGAAAGGGGGGATGACTCCACACGAATGGTGGGTACACATGCCTGCTATTTGAGCCCACTGCTCGCACAAGTGGGGATGCACAAGCGCCCGTGTGTTTCACCAGCCACTTCTGCAGCCTGGTTCCGAAAGGCTCAAAGCCTGGGTGTTGGGGACCCTAGATATTATAGAGAATATGTTGTCACATAAATTTGATAAATGTTGCTATGCTGCAAGCGTTTCCTTTCCCTCGCAGGTGGCTGACTGTGTGTGCCTAATGGCACTGGACAAGACTGAGGCTGTACCAGTGGACACCCACATATGGCAGGTTGCCAAACGTTACTATGGCCAAGAGTTGGGGATGGGGGCCCGCAGTGTGACGGAGCGTGTCCATCGAGAGATTGGTGAGGAAAAGGTCCTGCTGTTGTGACCCGTCAGTGGCCTGTGCAGATTGTAGCTGATTCCGACAACGAGGAGGCTGGTGTGGTGCTGCGCCATCAGCCTGTGCAGCTGGCGCTCGAGTCAGACAGTGAGGAGGCTGGAGAAGATGTAGTGTCAGAGGCGGGGATTCAGCCAGGGCCTTCAGAACCTCCAGAAGCTCCTTTAAGTGAAGAGGACGAAGAGGAGGAGCCTCTTCTCAATGCACGGGCGTGCAGAGCTGCCAAAAGGCAGGAGTGGCTCCTCAGGAGGAGGCCTCCTCGAGAGTAAGGCTTGGGGCTAATTGGCCACTCCCTTAGCCTATTTAAGGAGGAACACTGATTGCAGCAAGCTGTAGGGAACAACTTTAGTTCAATCTCCTTCGCGTCTGGATTCTCTGCAAAATTATTTCTGAGCTTTCTGCCAACTCTAGTAAGACTGTGATTACCTTATCTTAGAATAAGATAAGGCTCTTAGAATCTGGTAGGCTGTTAAGACAGTTTTATTAACAGCCTTTGGTTGATAAAGACTAAGTTATTTGAGTAAAATAAGCTTTGTATAGAGTTTGTATGGGCTGCGTTCTTTGGGGTCCGTAGCTGGGGCAGAACACCTGCTTGCTGGTGATGATCTTAAATAGCAACACTGAGCAACAGCAATAGCACTTATACTTATATGTCTGCCCCATAGTGCTTTACCGCACTTTCTAGGCAATTTACAATGTCAGCCCTCAACAATCTGGGTGCTTATTTTACCGACCTCGGAAGGATGGAAGGCTGAGTCAACCTTGAGCCTGTCAGGATTGAACTCCAGAGTGTGGGCAGAGTTTTCCTGCAATACTACATTCTGACCACTGTGCCACCAGGGCTCTTGAGGGAAGGGACAACCTGGAGCACACCCGCCCTATCTAACCTAGTAGGAGCAGGAGATACGCTCAGGGAGAGGCGGTCCCACAAGTAACCTGTCCCTGTGCGATGTAGGGCTTTAAAGGTAATAACCAGCACCTTGAATTGCACCTGAAAAGCAACTGGAAGCTCGTGCAGCTCACACAGCAGTGGTGTTACTTGGGTGAACCATAGGACACCCAAAATTTTGTGTGTGCCACTGCATTCTGGACCAGTCCAGTTTCCAGATGTCTTCAAGGACAACCCCATGTAGAGCATATGAAGTAGTCCAAACAAAAGATGGCTAAGGCATCAGTGACATTGAGCAAGACCTTCCAGTTCAGAAAACATATATAAGAATGTCAGAGCGGTTGTGAGGAATCAGACCTATTTCAGTCACATCTTATTTCCTGTAGTGGCCAATGATAAACTCTGATGAAACTGGAGGGCATTAGCCTTACAGGAAGCAGAGAGGAATTATAAATTTGTTGTTAGTTGCAAAGCCATGTCCAACCCATCGCAACCCCATGGACAACTTTCCTCCAGGCCTTCCTGTCCTCTGCCATCCCCCGGAGACCATTTAAGCTCATGCCGACTGCTTCAGTGACTCCATCCAGCCACCTCGTTCTCTGCCATCCCCTTCTTCTTTTGCCCTCAATCGCTCAGTGATTTTATTACAAATAGCAGTTCCTTAAGCAAGTTTTATTTCCATGAAGTTTCCTATCCATCAGGTGGTGTTACAAAGGATAGTCTTGGTGGAAGGAAGGATAACTGGTCATCAGCTAAACTAGATATGTCATCTTACCTGGCCTTCCACTGCATTGTCTCTAGTTGTAGTCCAGCATTGGGTTCCTAAAAGCATAGCCTGAATGAGTTTCAGAGGAGTAAAGTTAAATGAAGGGCCTAGTTGAGCTCCATAACAAAATGTACTTTCCAACAGATGAAGGGCTTCAAGTATGTAGTAGCCTCTTGGAGCATAAAATATTGTTGTGCTTGGAATGTTGCCATCCTAAATTGTAATTAACATTGACAGAATGTTTATTTTTCTGTCTCTATTTTAAAGCATCTTAAATCATAGAACGATAATAATAAACCCTAATCTCATAAACAATATGAGAGATTTATGGCAATACAATAAAATGTCAAAAAAAAAAAAAACCTCTGTAAAAGCCTCTTTTAGTTTGGGAAGAAACCTTAAAATAGCAGTGATTGTTTTCTGGATATTCTGGGACTCTGTTGGTTATCTAGATGCGTGCAGAACCACCCATCGATATTTAAAGCTTGATATAACTTCTGTTAAATTTTTAATTTCTCCTCCAGCAGACACCTAGAACTGAAATACAATAATATGGGAAGGGATGTGAACTAATTTGGGAAATCAACCCTTATTCCGCTGTTTGAGCTGTGTGGACTTGCTCTTTGCCACATTCTAATTTAAGTTTGTTTTGCCTCCAGGAAATTTCTTCCGCAGCCTTTGGGGACCATATTCTGGATGGGCGCAAGCGGTAAGTATGAAACAGCATTCCCCTTCACGCATTAAGGCTCAGTGCCATTGCCCACTGTTGCCAGAAGAGGTAAGATGCCAGACTAGGAGAAGCTTTCTCTATAAGCTGCATAAACTTTCTGTCTTCCTTATAATAGCAAACCGCAGGATCGATTTAGAAGACATTGCCAACTTCACAATAGCTCAACAACACTAGTAGAATCTGAATTTTCCTTTTTTTAAAGCAAGTCTCTATTCCTCAAGGTAGAGATGGGACATCACAGTCCAGTGGTGGGACGTATTCATGATTAGGGAGTCCTTTGGGGGGCTGAATTAGTGGATAGTAGTTTGGTCCAATGGTTAAGACGTGGATTCTAGGCCTCCTATGGGCACAGAAGCCAGCTGGGTGATTTAGCCTGTTCTCTGTGAACCCTAGAAAGAAGCCAATAACTAAGCTAAGTTGGGCTTAAGAAAGCAAAAACCCACAGTGGGCCAGAATAGATTCTTCTCTCACACACTCTCTTATACAGAGCTTCCCTTACCCTTACCCTTACCTTCTCTTCTCTTCCCTTCCCTTTTTTCCTTCCTCCTTTCCTTCTCTTTCCCCCTTCCCTTTTCCTTCCCTTCCTTTCCTTTCCTTTCCTTTCCTTTCCTTTCCTTTCCTTTCCTTTCCTTTCCTTTCCTTTCCATTCCTTTCCTTTTCCTTTCCCTTCCCTTCCCTTCCCTTCCCCTTTCCATCTCTTCCCTTCCCTTCCCTTCCCTTCCCTTTCCCTTTCCCTTTCCCTCTTTCCCTATCCATATCGACATGTCCCCTCACACAACCCACTTTGTTCCTCCAGTTCTATATACCAAAACAGAAGCAGCCATGATGAAGGTTCTTGGCTGAAGCTTTCTCCAGTGACCCACATTGACTGGTTGAATGCATCCAGTTCCCACTAGTAATGCTGAAACAACTTTCTCTTTCTAGCTAGATGCAGGTCAGGTGGATGCTGGAAAAATATTTGAGAGGGACGTTCTATGGCTCTGCAGATCATGGTTTGATGACTTGACTCCCAAGGATCTAGTCAGAGATTAGAAATAGGAACTAGGAGAAGAGGGGATACAATGAGCCGCCCTGAGTCTTCGGAGAGGGGCGGCATATAAATTTAAGTAATTAAATTAAATTAAATTAATTAAATTTTTAGTAGATAAGTTGTTGTCCACCATGCCAAGCGCCTCTGTCCTCTACTGTCTCCCGGAGTTTGCCCAAATTTGTGTTCATTCCGTCAATAACACTATCTAATCATCCCATCCTCTGCTGTTACCTTCCCTTTTGCCTTCAGTCTTTTCCACATCAGGGTCTTTTCCGATGAATCCTCTTCTCATTTGGTGGCCAAAGTATTTCAGCTTCAGCTTCATACCTATCCTTCTAGAGAACAATCAGGGTTGATTTCCTTCAGGATTGACTGATTTGATCTCTATGTGAGTTGCAAAAATTTGAATAACCATTAGGTGGAAGCACTGAGACAGGAAAAAAAAATCTTCTCCTGGATGCCATCTGCAAGCGATCTGGATGTTTGCAGCCATACCCGATATGTCCCATTTTTTAAAAATATCTTTTAACCCTTTGTGCCATCCAGATTTTTCCCTCTCTTGCCAGGTCCTGTTTTGTGCCGACCTAAGGAAGAACCAAGAGTCTGCAGATCCGAATGCCAAACACCGTTGCATCAAAGTGGCTCAGAGCAGCCACTCCACCTTGACATAGTAACTTCTCTTGCAGCTCCACCTTATTTATGGGACTGATACAGGCAAGGAAGAAGACCTTTCCTGTTAGTGACTGGAGCCAGAGAGAAATCACCCATGCTAAGAATAAGGGTTCTGTGAGCCGCTGAGGAAGACCGAAGCTGCTGTATGTTGCGGGGATCCTCAGTCAGTTGCTCCTACTTTTGTTTTTTAAATTTTATTGTCTTTTTCCCACCAGAGGTTGCTTGTAGCCTAAGCATCTCATGGAGCTGCCATGTATTTTAAACAGTAGAACGTTTCCCGCTTTTTCCTTGTGACTTTTGTAATCGCAATAGGCTTGCTGGGCATTGGTACTGGGCATCAGGCAGTTTTTTCAAGCAGACCATGGGAAAGTCATTTTCTCTAACTTGGGGTCATCTGTTTAGAATGTCAAAAGCATCATTGTTTGGAAAGAGGTGACAAACATCAGCAATCTGGACTCCCATTAAATAGTGAGGTTGATAAGAGTTGCCTGAGGGTAGGCAGAAATTGAATGGGCTTTCCCCAAAGGAAGTTGAGCTATGGAGTCTGTTAAATATCACCAGTAACTTAACGGTGCCACATAAAATTAAGGTAAAGGTTTTCCCTGTCTAGTCGTAGGGGAGCAGTTTTCATCTCAGTTTCTTAGCTGAGGGAACCAGCGTGATCTGAACTCGCTTCCACGGTCAGCACAATTGATACAACAAGGCGCACAGAATGCGGTTACCTTGTGGTAGCTATTTATCTATTTGCTTTCGAACTGCTAGGTTGGCAGGAGCTGGGGCAAGTAACAGGAACTCACCCCCGTCTCGCACGGCACTCGGGTCTCGAACCCAGGCTGACAGTTTTCCAACTGACAAGCTCGGCGTCTTTAACTTGCTGAGCCATCCCGCCTCTCATAAAAATAAGACTAGTCCTTTTTTTTTTTAAAGAAGGGAGCAAATTTTATGGCCAAGTCTGCATGCTCTCTCATTCATAAAACAGTGTATGTGCTGGGGTACATGCATTCTGTAATGCTGAATCATTTCAGAGGCTGCTTGTGATAGGCTGACTTTTGGTGATGGATGACACCTCCACCTAGGAGAGAATAGGGGGGACATGATAGCAGTATTCCAGTATTTGAGAGGCTGCCCCAAAGAGGAGGGGGGTCAAATTATTTTCCAAAGCACCAGAGGGCAGGATAAGAAACAGTGGATGGAAACTAATCAAAGAGAGAAGCAACCTGGAACTTCCTAACGGTGAGAACAATTAACCAGTGGCGCAGCTTTGCCTTCTGTAGCTGTGGGTGTTTCCTCGCTGGAGGTTTTTAAGAAGAGGCGAGACAGTCATTTCTCTAAAATGGTATAGGGGTCTCCTGCTTAAGCAAAGGGCTAGACTAGAAGGCTTCCAAAATCTCTTCCAGCTCTATTCTGATTGATTGACCATTGGACTATTAGCTAAGAGAAGAGGGAAGGATCCCTACCATTCAACGTTGGCTGAGGGTGCTAGTGTTTTGGGTTTTTTTACAACATTGTCAAGTCTTTGGCATCAGTTGCCACACAGTTGGGTCCCATGCAGTACCTTAATTCTACCTAACTCTAACTCAGTTCCTTCACTCTTTTGCCCACTTACCTGGGGAAGAGCCCCCTTGAATTCAGAACGGGTTACACCTGAGTAAATGAAGGGAGTTGCACTATAAGTGAAGACCATCTCCAGCTGATTTGTGTTTTGCTGATGATGATATTCTAAAGCAGGGATCTTCAACCTTGGCAACTTTAAGCCTGGGGGACTTCAACTCCCAGAATTCCCCAGCCAGCTTTGCTGGCTGGGGAATTCTGGGAGTTGAAGTCCCCCAGGCTTAAAGTTGCCAAGGTTGGAGACCCCTGTTCTAAAACATGGCTGGCTGAGGAATTCTGGGAGTTGAAGTCCACAACTCTTGAACTCGCCAAGTTTGGAGACCCCTGTTCAAAAAGAAGCACTGGTCATTGGACATAGGGCTGATTTCCAGGTGGTTTACTGAAACGGCAACAGTATTTGTGGTGCCAAAATCCAGCATTAATAGGAACGTGTTTTAAAAGGTACTTCGTTTCATTTCTGGCGTGACGTTTTGATGCTCCTCCAGATGCTGAGCCAACTCCTTTTTCTTTTTTGTGTTTGCTTATGTATATGTGACACAACAGCTCCCAATTTTCCTTTGCTGCCTCATGTATTTAGAACGCTACCCCTAATATTCAATCCCTTGTACTATCTCCCTGTTCTCGCTTTCCTTAATTTTCTTTGCATCTATAAAGGAAGTCGTAAATTAGATTCCTAAACCCAAATGATAGGCATGCTGCAGCCAAACCAAGCGTTTTTTCTGATTTCAGTGAATCTCACTATCAGAACAGAGACTTTTAAAGAGTGCAACCTGGTCTGGCTGTGGCCTTTTTTTTTTTTTTACTGTGTACTGTTTTAGAAAACTGTTATATATATATATATATATTCTCTCTTGCCCAAATCCATTTCTTCCTTTTGTCTTTGACCATTTCTAGTGGTTTTGGGCAAAGATCTACTTATTTTTTATCCTTTTATAAAGTGCTTCTAAGTTATTTCTAAGTGCTGTATCAATCCTAATAAAACAATCCTGGTTTGTCCCTTAGGTCTCTTCTAGCATAGTTTGTCTGTTTACGTTAGTTCCTAAAAGTGTGCCTGTAACCAAATTGGATTCATCTCGGGCAACAGCCCTCAGTGATGGTTTCCTCTTTTTGGGGCTGGCCTTTGGTGAACCTGGAGTGAGGCTCGGTCTTGTGTGCTTCCCTTTTAATACGCGAACAAGCAACAGCATAGAAACTTCTGAGTTACGAAGTTCCTCTTGAACTGAGAGGGTGGAAGAAAAGATCAACGGGACAAAATGAAGAGCTATGAGCTTTTAAATCAGGCAGGAGAAGAGACTGAACCACGGGAAAAGCCATAGTTATATCCAGAGGTGGATGTCATATAATTTTACCACTGGTTCACCACGCACTGAAAATGTGCATGCGTGCTTTGCTCTCTCTCGTGCTAAGAAATCAAATCCCATAAACCATCGCTCAGAATATCCCAAAGATGCTTTTCCAAAAGGCAACTGGACTTTCTTGGGGGGTTTTTCCCCTTGAAAATGTTTCTCTGAAGCTGAAGATGTTTCTTGGATGAGAAGTGAAATGTTTTCAAGGAAGTCAAGTTGCCTTTTGGGGGGTGGGGGGAACCCACCTTTGGGTCAACCATGGCCTGGATGGTTGAGAGAACTTCAGTAGATGCTGTTCAGGATAGTCATGGCCTCCCACCTGCAGAGGACAATAGGAAAGCCGCTCTAGCTTCCATATTGGACTGTAGGAAAACAGTTCCTCCTTCTTTAGAAACTTCAATAGATCACAGATAAGTGGAAAGCTACAAGCTACCGCACACTTCCCTCTGCAAACAAACAATCTTTATTCTCCAACACTGCACGCAACCGAGCCAAGGGCCAGCTACGGTTGAATTTACGTCCTCATTCCTTGGGGTTAGGCTTGGTTGGATCGTGTGGGAGAAGCGGGGGCTTCTCATTGGTTTCTTCAAGCGATGTGATGGTGTGCGCACAGCTGGAGAGCAAACACCCACTTGAGCGGCTGCTGCAGAAAGCCAGAGGGGTCTTGAATATTTCTTTCCAAGACTTAAAGCCACTCACGTGATGGGCCAAAAAGGATGGCATCGTTGCTGTCTTCAGATGAAAGAATGAGCATGGGGGGGGACGACAGGAGGGGTCTTGTTGGTGCGGCCAACAGGGGCGTTGGGGTGGGGAATGGAACGGGAGAGGATAAAGCATCTCCAGGGAAGTGTGGGAGTCGGAAAATACTAGCCTCCACTTCCAAGATTCTGGAGGATGCCAATTAATAGGGGACAGGTTCCATTCCCCTACAGTGGGACTCGGCCGTACTTCGCTGGGAAGATGGGATGGCGGTCCCAGACCCTTCCCTAGCTCTTACAACAGGGCTTGGGGCTGCCCACTCAGTTATGATTGCTGCTGGCTCTGCCATCTAGTTCCTGTGTCCTTTGGTGAATGTTCAGTCCTGAGTTTGGCAGTGAGAGCCATTCCCCAAGGATTCCTCACTGCTATTAGTAGCCGAGCCTGAAGAAGACAAAGGGGGAGAAAAGGGACAGTCAAGACCAGATTGACTAGAAATTGGACGATTCCAGGGCCTCCTCTGGTTCAGGAAAGGGAAGCTACCCAGTCCGTACTTCCCGTACTTAGTGACCAGATTGACTCCATGGTTCATAACACTTTATTCTTGGAATGTGACTTAAGGAGACATTCTTTAGGAACAGCATCACATGAACTCAATAGTTCACTGACATACAATGAAGCTCCTGCTGGCTTGAGCAGATCTTCAGAATGAGACGGCTTAGGAAGGAACCTGAAGACTTGGTTCTTCTTCCAGCTGCTGGCCCAGTTGTCCCCCCCACTATATGAGTCATGGTCTGGTCCCCAGCAGGGTCAGCTTTAATTGGTATGTTTTGGCAGCAGAACAAGTAGGCTCAAAAGCAAAGATCAAATGCGGCGCTGCTGTCATCGCTGGCCGACACACCAATGCTCACAAACAGAAGGAAGGGCTTTGAGGAGAAAGGCCACACAGAGACACTCGTAACCTCTCACCGTTGCTCTCCTGCATGGCTTGGCCAGGCCCCTCTTGACTGGTTCCAAGTTGTAGCTTCCTCATATGCCTCACCACAGCTGTTGCGTTGAAGGCTTGCTGAAGTGGGGGGGAAGGGGGGGAGAAAGGAGGAGAGAAAATGAAAAGCAAAGCAAATGTTTCTCTGCCACAGACTGGCAAGCGAGAAAAACTTTTTTGAGAGTTCATTCCTTTGTTTCCTTCCCTATGCTGTCAAGAGCTTATTGATTAATCGACTGAATTTATTTATTGAATTTATTTGCCACCCATCTTGTAGCAGAAGACTCTGGGGCAGCTTCCAGCATTAGCAATTGTGTCAGAGTTTCTTGCAAAAATCAAATCCAGAAGCACACACGGATAACTGATTCAGTTGGATTCATTAACTTCTTTATATACATAATAACAGATGAAGTATTTACAATACCAGTATAGATTCTTCTTCAACGTAGTAGCAGTTACAAGACAAGGCAGGAGAGAACAGTTAGTTTCATTTCAGCAGAGCAGACAAGCCCAGGCTTGTTCATTTCAGAGCTGAGCACAGAGCTTAATTTGATTTGATTTAAATACAAAGAGAGCCTCCTCTATACAGGGCAGTTAAGTTTCTGCACAGACTCAGTTGCCTAAGCCACACCCATACTTCTAGTTTAAGTTTCTGTTTCTAAACAGCCTTCATTAGCTGACCTTGTTACCATGTCTCTATTGGCTGATTTATTCCAGTCCATGAATATTCATACTCTGACAAATTGCAATATCATTTAGACTTATATACCGCTTCGTAGTGCTTTACAGCACTCTCTAAGCGGTTTACAGAGTCAGCATATTGTCCCCAAAAATCTGGCTCCTCACTTTACTGACCTCAGAAGGATGGAAGGCTGAGTCAACCTTGAGCCGGTGGGAATCGAACTGCCGTACTACTTGTAGCTGGTAGTCAGCAGAAGTAGCCTGCAGTACTGCATTCTAACCACCGCGCCAACACGGCTCTTTAAAAACCCAACAAATATCTTTTATGTTTATTTAACTGATACTGGAGAAGACAGGAATAGGAACATCACTTGAGTTATAAAGTCATCAGCCTTCTCCCACTTGATGTCCATACTATTCTTCGGGAAAAGGGATATAAAAATCAAACAAATGAAACAAGCACTGGAATAATTAAAAAGCATCTTTTGGACATCCTCACCTTCCATTTGCTTTTGGCAAAATTCTTTTTGATCTGCTCACTGACTGACTGATGGATGTTCTTATCTAGCGCGGTGTCTCCAGCAATCCTGAGAAGAGAGAAAGCATTTGTTCCTATTTTGCAGACACCCCACTACCATAAAAGGTAAGAAAAGGGGCAGCTATTAAAGAAAAAACGGAAGTGTTACCCAGTTGATGGATAAATTCCCCAAAGAAACTCATTAGGTTATTTTACGTTGGGGTCATTTTAGCATTTATCTTTACAGAGCTTTACTTTAGGTCTGTGATGGCGAACCTAAGGCACGAGTGCCGGAAGTGGCATGCAGAACCATTTCTCCGGGCACCCCAGCTATCACCCGTTGCTCTTCCGGGATCCGCCGACCCACTGGTCTTTGTGCACACAGGAGTGTCAGAAACCAGAAAAACAGTTCCCTGGCATTCATGCGCGCAGGGGAAGCTGAGCTTCCGGTTTCCGATGCGCATATGCCAGGTGACCAGCGCGCATGCACACACCGGAAACCAGAACCTCAGCTTCCTGGCACATGTATGCGCACTTGGGAACTGCTCTTCCAGTTTCCGGCGCTCCTGTGCGTGCGCACCAGGGAATTGGTATTCCAGTTTATGCTGCTCCTCTGTGTGCGTGCGTGCACTCCCGTTTTGGCACTTGGTGCTGAAAAGGTTCGCCAACACTGCTTTAGGCTATATGTTTTTTTATATACAATGCCCTCAGAGTATACCAAATTATGCAACAAAGATAGAATTTCTGCAAACAAAATAAGAGCAGGCAGAATTAATATAAAACTTTCATTTCCGACTTCCAATTTCCAAACAAAATTGAGAACTTTATTATAGAAGACTTTGTGCCGATAACAAGGAAAGGGCATCATAGGGAGAAGAAATAAGTCAATCTGAATAGAGCTGGAAGGGGCCTTGGAGGTCTAGTTCAACCCCCTGCTCAAGCAGGATACCCTATACCAGGGGTGGGCAACTGTGGCCCTTTTACAACCTGTGGACTTCAACTCCCAGAATTCCTGAGACAGCTTGGCTTGGCTGTCTCAGGAATTCTGGGAGTTGAAGTCCACAGGTTGTAAAAGGGCCACAGTTGCCCACCCCTGCCCTATACAATTTGAGACAAGTGGCTGTCCACTCTCTTAAGTTTTTTTAAAGTTCTTTTTAAGTTCCTTTAAAAAGTGTTTAAACTTTTTAAAAAGTTCTTTAAAAGTTTTCAACTTCTTAAAAACCAAGTACATGGGTACTCCTGTTTCTTTAAATCAAGTAATACTTTACTTTTAGTTCCTTGGGCATATTTTCATTTCCTGCCAGGTGATAGATGGGTATGCGAGAGTACATTCTAAATTGGCTTTGGACAAAATAGCAAAAGCAGTAGCAATTAGACTTATATACCATTTCACAGTGCTCTACAGCCCTATCTAAGCAGTTTACAGAGTCAGCCTATTGCCCCACAACAATCTGGGTCCTCATTTTACCCACCTGGGAAGGATGGAAGGCTGAGTCAACCTTGAGCCTGGTGAGATTCGATCTGCCAAACTGCTGGCAGCCGGCAGTCAGCAGAAATAGCCTGCAGTCCTGCACTCTAACCGCTGCGCCACCGTGGCTCAAAATAGTCATATAATCAATCCTATAGATGGTCCCTATATTGAGGATGGTTGCAGCGTACTAGGCTCATGTGATCGCTATTTGTGACCAGCAATTTGTTAGTAACGCATACTAAAGATGCATGAATTTGTAATTTTTTTTAAAGCAGCACATTTTACTTGAGATTTGATGGCGATAA